CGGGGTGGGGTCGCACAGCATGCCAGGGATCTAACCCTGGCCGCTGCATCTGCCTAAGCAGGCGTTTTAATCCACTGAGCTATTTGGCTGGTCCTTGTTTTTCTGTTTATTTTTTTGAGACAATCTTGCTATGTATTCCAGGCTAGTCTTGAACTCATTATATTGGCCAGGCTGGCCTGAAACTCTTGCTAATCCTCCTGCGTCGGCCCTTGCAGTGCTGAGCTGTTCACCACTACACCCAGGCTCATAGACTTGTTTCAAGTCACATGTTTATTGGCAGGAACTATTGAATATTTTGCCTAAGATATTAAGTTCAAAGGAATTTTGAAGCATCTATGCTATGGAAATAAAAGTTTAAGTAAGGTGAAAAATTTAGAAATAATTTTTTTGTTTTCTTTTTGAGACAGGGTTTTGCTATGCAGTTCAGGCTGGCCTTGGACTCACTTGTAGCCCTTGCTGGTCTCAACTCGCAATGATCCTCCTGCCTCAGCCTCTCTAGTACAGCAATTACAAGCATGGGCCACCATGCCCAACAATAGCTTTTACTTTTCAAAAATCTGAGCAGTACAATAATGAGGTACTTCTTTCTTCCCTATCATGTTCTGTATTAGAAATAGTTCTGAAAAAAATTTTTTTTTTTTTTGTGATACCAGGTATTGAACTCAAAGAAAATGTTAACATATCTAGAGAGTTGCTTCTTTCTCTTCTTCCTCAAAGGAGAAAAACTGAGAAATTAACAGTTAGCAATCCAGGCTCACCCTCCGGACATTTCCTTTAGTAAAGACTGATGTCTAATTCAGGAGCTCACAGATTATCTCTGAAACTAGCAGCATGAACAGGCAAGTGTCCACAAGAATAAAAATTCAGGGTACCATTCACAGGAGCACTTAGCCCATAGACCAAAGATGTCGGTATGACTTTGGTCATACTTTGGCAAAACAGATTTCAGAAGTTCTAGTACGGAGTTTAAGCCTTACAAAAGAATTATGCAAGCCTGAGTACTATAATTATTTAATATTGTAACAAAACAAAGATATTACAGACTAGGTTCGAACTCCAGCAACCTGAGGCTGACAGCTTTGTGGAAGCAGCCACTTAAAGGCCTGAGCTAGGGCCAGGCCCCCAAAATGGCAGAAGTGTTTTTTTTTTTTTTTGCTCGGAATGCCTTCAAGGCATGACTGGCTATCTTGTGTTGTGGGGATCGAACCCAAGCAACCTGAGCCTGACTGCTTTGTTGAAGCAGCCACTTAAAGAACTGAGCTACCGGGCAGGCCCCCCGATATTACAGACTAGGAAGATGTTTAATGGGTACAAAAATAATTTCTCACTTAGGAAACATTTCCAATATGAATTTTCTACATATTTTTCAAAATGCATACATTTTCAAATCAAAGTAAGCAGTGCTCTTGATTCCAGCCTAGTTACTTCAAGTGAACTTAGCCTTTTATTCAACTGCCTTATTTCACAGGTGAAAAACTGAGGCAGAAGCGGACACAGGCCAGGGTGCAAAGGCAAGGGTGCAGAGCCAAGGTTAGAAATGACTGAGAACAGGAAGTTGGCAACAGCAGGGTGTCTGTGAAGGGGCTCAGAAGCTAAGCACAAACTGGAAAACATCCAGGAGTTACCTTAGTTCTGTGGTTCTCTGCGTTCAGCCCCTCATATAGAGTTTTGTTGAAGGAGATTTCACCAAGGACCTGTAGCTCAGTTATATCTCTTAGCAACTGTAAGACAGGGAAAAGGAGGGAGGGAAACAAAATATTATTTAGACATGGATTTGCTGCTTCCAGACAGCCTTCCCCATCAGTCTCTTTAAACATGCTCCTTCTCTCATTTTCCTTAGCTTCATTAATGACCTCACCATCCACACATCTGCCATTATTCCTCAGCTTTTCGCCTCT